ATTGTTGTTTGGCGGGCCCGGGCTGGGGATTCGAACCTGCCACCTTAGGTGTATGTGGCTGGCGCCTTAGCCGCTTGAGCCACAGGCGCTGAGCCTTAAAGCATTTTTCAAGAAAAGAAAGCCATATTCAACACATAGAGGGCCTGATTATCAATGACTGTGTGCTTCCTTTTCAAATGATATAACTCAATTTAACTTTGCAAATAGCTTTGAAGAATAAAAATTAGGTTTATCTGAAAAAAATTATTTACTCTCTTCTGGGAATTACATATTTTAAAACTCATAGTCTTATCACCTTTTTTCTAGACACACAGGTATTAAATATATGTGTCTAAAATATGAATAGTATTTTTTCTTTTAAAAAATATTTTTGGATAAAACTGAGATAACAGTATGCATTTGTTTGGTTATCTGTTTCATCTAACATGGTCAAGTGTTCACAATTTGTTATTCAATATTCTAAATTATGATCCCTTGATGGCTACAGAATCTCTATCATGTGTTTGCAAACTTCTACCGTGTTTCCTTTGCGTAAATTCCTGGGTGTAAAACTGCTGAGTTTAAAGGTAAGACATTTATTTTTCAGGCTTTGATTTGTTTTCCCAAACTGCTTCTTTGAAAGCATAAACATACATTTTATTTCCTCACATTCTTGCCAAAACTCTATTTGTTTGGTCCAATTTTACCAATATACAAAATGAAATATGGAAGCCTACTGTTTTCTTTACAACTATATACCATGCACTTGCCTTTAAACTCTATGCTATCATCACTGAACCAGGGGCCCACTCTCCACCCTATTGTAACTTTATATAAAGTCAGTGAACCAGAAATGAACATTTGAAAAAATACAGTACTAATGGCTTTGTTTAATTTGTATAAAACTATTTTAACTCTATTCTTTTTAATTATATTTAGGATCCATGTCAAACACATGTATCAGGAATGCTTTTAAAGAAAAGTAGCTACTTAGTACCCACCTGTTTCAATCTGTCATAGTCGAGCCCCTCTGTCTGGACTCCATTGGCACTAGGCTGTGACAAAGGTGTGGATTTTGGTCTGTACAAATGAAATTTCCAAGACAAGTAAACATTTGATATTTAACGAGTTCATAAAAAACTGCAAATGTATTAACTCAACACCAGATTTAAATATATTTCTTAAATAAAATACAATTTGCTTAAAAGTTAGTTGTCAAAACTGTAGAACTGATTAGAACATAAAGCAGAAAATATTTTTCATTTGTCTCAGCATTGTAATTGTCTACAAAGAAACTAGGAAAAGGTGACAAGCTGGTGAGACTTCTTCAGAACAGAGTAGGTGATAGGACTCTTTAGACATGAGGCAGATAACCCGGTGACATGTGGCCTGTTGATCAAACAGTGATTGAGAGGCTAGCTGAAATACCTGAGGCCCAAATAACATGATCGTATCTGTTCCTTCTTTTGAAATGTTACATTATTTATTAAATACTTGGCAAACCAAAGGAGGAAAAATATAAAGACTTGAAAATATTTTACTCTAACACAAATCAGTTTACAAAGTCTATTTCTTAGATTGCAGGAAGAAAACATTTTAGTAAATACAACTTCTTTGTACATATTTTACTGTATTTCAACAACAAAATAAATATGAATGAAAAAATGATTAGGGTAGGCTATGTGCCTATTTTCCTAAGAAGTTCTTAAAGGAGACATCATTTGAATAGTGTTTCAAGCTAACTACATCCATAAACTTATTTTCTTTTTTTAAAGGAAATGCCAGACAGAAACAGATTGTCAATTATAATAATTATACTTTTAAAAGTTCAATTACTATTGAAATTTTACATCAAGAAATGTTTTAGTAATTTAGATGTATTTTCAGTAGAAGTTTCAATGCCACATAAATCAGTCATCACTCCTCTCTCCAATTCTGGCAATAACAGAAAATCCCCAGTGGAAACCTTAGAATTTTAATTGGCATGCCTCTATTATCTGGTTTGGTATATAGTAAGTAGCCACTTGTTAAGGGCCACAAATCAATGCAATTTACAACCATTAGGCAAACTGTATGTTTCCAATTTTGCAAAGGACCAATGTTAGAAATCTGAAATAAGACCCAATAAGCATAATAACTTTTTCAGAGTTATAATTTCATTTTTTTTTTTTTTAAGAGACAAGAGTCTCAAGCTGTTGCCCTGGGTAGAGTGCTGTGGTGTCACAACTCACAGCAACCTCCAACTCTTGGGCTTAAGCGATTCTCTTGCCTCAGCCTCCCAAGTAGCTAGTACTACAGGTGTCTGCTGCAACACCCAGCTTTTTGTTGTTGTTGCAGTTGTCCTTGTTACTTTAGCTGGCCAGGATCAGGTTCGAACCCACAAGCCTCAGTGTACATGGATGGTGCAGTACCCACTGAGCTACGGGCACCACCCATAATTCTTGTAAGATATACAAAACTCCAAACCTATAGGCACCATTCATAAAGATGAAATACTGGGTTAATGTGCTTTAATATAAAAACAGATTACTGCTTCAAAGATTGTTATGAATCAAGCCAGTGATTTTTATTTTATCTGCTTTATGAATAAGGGAAAATAGTAACTTTCACAAAATTTCATTCAATTAAGCCCTGAGCTTGTTAGGGAATAAGAAGATTTACATGAGATTTTCTTGTAAGGATACACTGTCTGACTTTGCTGAGACAACTACTTAATTCCAGAGTCACTTTGTATTAATTGAGATCCACAGCGTGAGAGTTACGGTATTCTATGTAGAGTCAGGGCTCATCGTCTTTTTTTAAATTTCAAAGTATTATAAGGGTACAAATGCTTCTGGTTACATGAATCACTTTTATAAAGCTTGCATCATAAAAGGATTCTAAGTGTGCAGTTACCCAGATAGTATATCCTTGAAGGTTAGCACACTGTGTGTTTCAAATACTCATGCTATCTACTCCTGTTCTCCAGAGTTAAATTAATTACCCTGCTTTTCTTTAATTCTTCACATTTAAATGGCACAATTAGCTAGTTATTTTCTCGTAAGTTATTAACAAATACCTCTGAAATTCATATGAACAACTACAATCTGCTATTTAACCGGGCAGGATATTATAAATACATCTTTATTTACTAAGTAATGCCAAAAATCATTGTTATTTAATTAACAACTGTGGAAACAACATGCAATTTTTAAAAGATTTAATTCATGCTAACATGCAATCCATCACCACCACCACCATGATAATTAACTAAAGGGGGGAACTTTTCATACTGAAGGAAAGACGTAATCACCACTTTTTTATAACAAAAAGGTTTATCAACATTATCCCCAGGAGCACTATGAGAGCAGTGTGGTAACTGAGAAGATAGATGTACTATAAAAAAAACTTATTTTGGGAGACAGAGTCTTACTCCGTTGCCCAGGCTAGAGTGTCATGGCCTCAGACTAACAGCAACCTCAAACTCCGGGGCTTAAGGGATCCTCCTGCTCCAGCCTTCTGAGTAGCTGGTACTACAAGGGCTGGCCGTGGTACCTGGTTAACTTTTTCTATATTTAGTAAAGATGGAATTTTATTCTTGCTCAGTCTAGTCTTTTTTTTTTGGAGACAGAGTCTCATTATGTCTCGAGAGTGCCATGGCGTCACAGGTTAAAGCAACTTCAAACTCTTGGGCTTAAGTGATTCTCTTGCCGCAGCCTGACTACAGGTGCTTGCCATTAACACATGGCTATTTTTTGTTGCAATTGTCATTGTTGTTTAGCTGGCCCATACCAGCTTTGAACCTGTCAGGTGTATGTGCCTGTCAGCCTGGTGCCTTATCCACTGTGCTACGGGTGCTGAGCCTCAGGCTAGTCTTGAACTCTCGAGCTCAAGCAATCCTCCTGCCTCAGTTTCCCAGAGTGTTAGGACTACAGATGGGAGGCACCATGGCCTGGTCCAAAAATTTCACTATAAAATGCTATTTTTCGCTCTATGGATTAGCAAATTTTCTAACTAAATCTTTTGGTCAGAATAATTAAAACACTTCAAAAAAGGGGGGGGAGAAAAGGCAGGAAAAATTACTCCACTATTGTAAACATTTTATGAAAATTTAACTGGCTAACAAAATTAACTTATCAAATATTTTGATTATCAATAGCACAAAAATTTATTTTATTATCATTATTTTTTGAGACAAGAGTCTCATTTTGTTGACCTCAGCAGAGGGCCATGGCACCATAGCTCACAGCTACCTCAAACTCTTAGGCTCAAAGTGATTCTCTTGCTTCAGCTTCCCAAGTAGCTAGGACTACAGGATAATATATGTGGCCTTAGATTCCCATGTAAGTATTTCTGATTTGTTTACCATTTACATTTATCCTACTCCAACTCATGGCAGGATTTAAGGTATCCAAAATCAGGTCAAATGAAGGATTCTATCTCCCCTAAAGATCTCTTGTGGTGATTACCAATCCAGGTAGAAAAAGCTCAGCCCTATCCTGAACATGTTCTCTCAAAGTCCCAAATCACAAAGCCACAGCAGGATGATACCTGTGTAATGAATCATAGGACCTGTTGTCAAAAACAATCTGATTTTTCCTTGGAGAATCCCGTCTATGAAGGGGAAAGACCATTTAAGGGAATATACAATAGAACTTTCAAAAAGAATTCTCATTATCACTGCTTCACAGGATTTTAGTTACAGTAAGCAGAACCTCGATTAAAGGAGTTCATTAACCTTAAAATAATCATTTTTCCCAATAAAAATCAAGAAATCTTAAAATTAATTTCCATTATATAAAGATACTATTTACTTAATAATTAATGAAAAATTTTAAAAACATCATTCCTGAATGGCTACCTTTATAGACTGTAAGCACCATAAAACCTACCTACTACAAAGATTCAATTAGTATCCAAACACAATCAAAGATATTTCTATTAGAGTGACTATGAAGCAACAGATTCAAATAAGAAGTATAATAAAAATCATTGTAGCTTAAATACACCACATTAACTTCAGGAGGCATGTAAAGAACTTTTTTCTCCCATCTTAAATGAAAGATCTGTTAAGATTTTACTGAAAATCTTAAGAAGAATTCACTAACTTTCCAATGTTATAGTCCAGCCATAGTTTAAAGCTTTTATTTTTTTTAAATTTTATGACAGAGTTTTAACTCTGCTACCCAGGCATAGCTCACAGCAATCTCCTGCCTCAGCCTCCTGCGTGGCTAGAACTACAGGCATGCACCACCACGCACAGCTAATTGTTTTTCTATTTTTTGAAGAGACAGGGTCTCATTCTTGCTCAGGTTGGTCTTGAACCGCTAACCTCAAGTTATCCTCCCACCTCAGCCTCCCAAGTGCTAAGATGACAGATTTGAACCACTGTAATCAGCCCAGTTAAAAGCTTTTTTTTGAGACAGAATTTCATTTTGTCACCCTCGGCAGAGTGCCATGGCAGCACAGCTCACAGCAACCTCAAACTGTCGGGTTTAATTGATTCTCTTGCCTCAGCCTCCGAAATAGCTGGGACTCCAAGCACCTGTCACAATGCCCAGCTATTTTTTTTTTTTTTTTTTTAGTGACAGGGTCTCACTCTTGCTCAGGCTGGTAACTTCTGAGCTCAAGCAATCCACCCACCTCAGCCTTCCAAGTGCTAGGATTGCAGGCATGAGCCATCGTGCCTGGCCCCAGCTTAAAGCATTTTTAATTACATTCTTGCTTTTACTTTACTGTTACATCTTCACTTAAATACAGTATAATACAATGCCTCATGTACATTATGGGATATAATCCATCTTACTACTAACGTAATTTTGACATGGATATTCAGAAGAGAAATGAGTATTTTCACTACAATGGAAGCATGAAATGGCTAATATATTTACTTTCAGAAGGCACAGGGGAGAGAGAACTTAGGAAGAAAAGTAATATAGTCTTAATCTTTTAAACATATTTTAAAAATATTTTATAGGGCTGTGCTCAGTGTCCAGGCCAAGACAGCCCTGATTTTGCTCCCTCTGCTTCTGATGCTATTCTCAAGGTGACAGGATAAATCATGGATAAACTGTGAATGAAAATATGGTGCAGCATATGAGACATGAAATATAGTCCAACCATCAGCACCTCAGAATTCTAAACTGTGAGTGATATAAACTTTTAAAAATATGTTGATAAAAAAGTTACTTTTCACACTTCCAGTCATGCAAATGTGAGTTTGCCACATGATAATCACTCTTCATCAGAAATGGGACCGCAGGGGTAGGCTGTATCCCTTCTGCTTGAAACCAACTTAAAACTGCATACTTTTAAAATAAAGTATATTAAAACTATAAAAAAAATTTTATAGTTTAAAATTGCTTTTGCTAAAATTCTAAGATATATGTATTAGTCAGTGGTTCTCAACCTTCCTAATGCCATGGCCCTTTAATACAGTTCCTGTGGGTCATGACCCACAGATTGAAAGCAGCTGGTATTAGTGGTTTGAGCAAATCTATCAAAAGAATTTGATAAATTTCCCAGAATTTCTATTTTGGGAAAAGTGCCCCAAACACTTTAGTGCCCCCTAAAAGAGTTGGGGGCATGATTATAATGCATTACTAGGATAATAAGAACCAAGATTCAACTAATCTACATAAAATTATTTTCAAAATGGCAACCTGAGAGTACTTACTAAATTTCTTCTAGAAGTCTGAAAAGATCTCTCAAAGAGTATTTTTTCCTTTAGTAAGACCAAACACAACAAGGAACATGTTGTGCTTGGAAAATCTCTTCCATGATTCTTCTAAGGCAGCAGTTCTCAACCTGTGGGTCATGACACCTTTGGACTGTATTAAAGGTTTGCAGCATTAGCAAGGTTGAGAACCACTGTTCTAAGGCGTGATTTTTGCCAACAATTTAGGCTTAGCCTTAGAATCACCAGGGAATGTCTATCATGAAGTATGGCTGAAGAGTAGGGCAAAAATGTCACAATTTACAACTTCAAAGGACAAATGGCCCACCACGTTTCTGCTCCTTGTCATATACTTGATAAGTCAGGCCTCATAACATGCCACAGAAAGTCAAGAACTAGTAGAGATGTGTTAGAAGGTCACCACAGGTATGTAAGAAACAAACATGCAATTTTCCAACTCTACTGAAAAAACATGTAACATGTTCACCAAAAGCAATTTCCTTTTTTCTTCTAAAATAGTATATGATTGCCTTTTAGTCACTTAGAAACTAAAAGCTTTTTTTTTTAGACCAAGTCTCAAGCTGTCCCCTGGGTAGAGTGCCATGGCATCACAGCTCATTAGTGATTCTCTGGCCTCAGCCTCCCAAGTAGCTGGGACTACAGGTGCCCGCCACAACGCCCGGCTATTTTTTTGTTGCAGTTGTTGTTTTAGCTGGCCCAGGCCAAGTTCAAACCCATCAGCCTCAGTGTATGCGGCCAGCACCCTATGCACTGAGCTATAGGCGCCACCCAGAAACTAAAAGCTTTATACACATTAAAAGAGGTCCAGTTTCTTTGTAGGGCTTAAACAATTGTATTATCACCAAATGTTTTCTACCAGTAGAAAGATCGCACAAAAGTCAAATCCAAATTTAGATCTAGGCTTGTGATTATAAAGTCTAACCTTGTACTTTACTCGCTTTCTATAATTTTTTTTTTTTTTTTTAAGACGGAGCCTCAAGCTATCCCCCTGGGTAGAGTGCCATGGCATCACGCTCACAGCAACCTCCAACTCCTGGGCTCAAGCGAGTCTCCTGTCTCAGCCTCCCAAGTAGCGGGGACTACAGGCCCCCGCCACAACGCCCGGCCATTGTTTGGTTGCAGCCATCATTGTTGTTTGGCGGCCCGGGCTGGGGATTCGAACCCGCCACCTTAGGTGTATGTGGCAGGCACCTTAGCCGCTTGAGCCACAGGTGCTGAGCCCGCTTTCTATAATTAAAGACATGCTTGCTTTTTATGAGGCAAAAATAAGGCAAAAGCTCAGGAAATAAAGACAAAAACTTTTTAGTTTATAAATATATGCCCTTTTTTCCCCCCTAGAAAAAATATGAGCCCTTTAAGCTGTCTCAGAAACCAATAAAAGGTTTCATCTATGTTAATGACCTGTGATATAAACTCAGTCATGATACTACAGAATGCTAAGGAAATAATGAAATCTGCTTGACAGCGCCCACATGCCACTTGTAGAAATAAGCATTAACTAATCTTGCTTCTGGGCATTATCTTTCCTAACTTGATTATGCTTAGAAGTTTCAACAGAGACAGAGAAATAAATCTTTCTTTACAAATTAAAAATCTTAGGTTTTGTTTTCTTTTAAAAATTACAGTCTTTTCTCTCCAGATGATTTTGAGTTCAAAACATAAAAGTTTCTTCCAAAAATTATATTTAGAAAAATAGCCATGAAAGATGTCACTGAAAAATTGGTGAAATGTGAATATATATACTTTATTAGATAATATTATTGTTCAGTGTTGTATTTCTCGAGAGTGGTAATGGTATTCTAGTTATGTAGGAAGATGTCCTGTTTTGGAAAATGCTAAATTATTTAGGGTAAAGCAACATTTATTTGTGAACTACTTTCAAACTATTCAGAAAAAAAAAATAAATACGGATGTGTAGATAATTAAGATGAATGTGGCAAAATGTTGACAACTGGTGAATACAGGTAGTGAGTCCAGAGGCATTAACTATATCACCCCTTCAACTTTTGTGTAGTTCTTAATTTTTCAAAGTGAACAAATTAGAGAGACTATGCTATCTTAAAAGCTTAGATGATCTTGCTAGTGAACGTAGGGTAGAATTTATCAAACAATCACTAGGAAAACTAGAAGGCTCAGTAGCTGTCCAGTAGTCATGAGATTACCAGCATTTTATGTGCTCCTTTGAATAATTTCTAATCTATCATTAATTTTTCTACAACATAAAAGTATTAACTTCTTTTTTGATATAAGTTAAATATAAAATTTAGAGAAAAAAACTGGTACCTGGAGATAACAGGTGACTTGCTGCCATTCATTGTGTTTGTTCTTTCCCATGGTTTTCTTGTTGGTTCTTTAAAAATAAGGACCAAAAATCATTAGATAACTTGTATTTCCAGAGTTGTTATAAATAAATACCATTATACCCAACTAAATATTAGTAATGCAGATAAAGATTTTTAAATGTAATCTTAAACATTAAAATCTATAAGGATTCTAATTTGTATGATTTCAGACCTTAAAATGAGAAAATGTTAATAAAAGATAGTACAAGAACAAGAGTAGGATTAATTAGGACAGTTTCAATTAATTAGAATGGAATAGTATTACTTATCCTTTTTTTTCTTTAGCAGGCACTGTCTGCGTTTGAACTCGCCACTCCTACTGCACAGGGCTGGCACTTACCTACACTATTTTAAATTATCTTAAGTACTAATGATAAAATATATATATATATAATTTATAATGTGCTCATGTACTTTAACATTTCATTTAATTCCAAATCGTCTTCTTGGAAAAAAATGGAAACAACTCAAATTTTGGACTCATCAAATTGTATTATACTTCCCTGATTCTTAATTAAATTCTTAGGACTCTGCAGACAATTCTACTTAAGGTCACATTACAAAAGATGCTATGTAGTGACTCACTGGTGGACCTTCTATTGTGCTTAAATTCTTTTTCTAATTTAGGTTGACTCACAGATGTGGTCCTTGGCCTCACTAAATGACTGGGTAAAATCAGAAGCAGAACCTTGTCACGAAGGATAGTGTTTTGGCCCCAGTCTGCTTAGGACTTGTGATCAAGAAACTGCTCTGAGTTCCCATGCAGCCCCTCAACTGGCTTCTGCATCCTCTCACGTTCTTATAGTCTCTCATTCTCTTTAAACATGCACAACTAAATAAACTCGCCCATGAAGCACTGCTTTAGGTTTTTGATTTCTGTTGCACTCAGGAATCTAGGTGGGAAAGCTGGAAGTCATGGATCTTCTTTAGTCCTCAATCAGTCAATTCCTTCCTTTTTCGTTGTGTTTTTATTCCTTCTTACTTGCTAAAATATCATGCCTTCTCTTACTTTCAGCTAAACCAAATACCCTTCAAGGCATAGTAAAATGTTACTTTTTTTCCATAAAGCCGATTGAGGTGATTCTATATACAATCCCCCTCCCTGACACATTACTTAGTACTTAACACTGGGTTGTGAAAGATTTAACTTTCACTCCTGTGTCTCATCTTCCCAGCTGAACCATGTGTCTCTGTGCTCAGGACTTTTATCATTCATTTCTTCTTGCCCTGTCAAGCATCTGATACAACACCAATTTAAATAAAGAAAGGAATGAAACACATGGAAAAGAAGCCTCTGGCCCTTCTGAATAATTCCTTAATTATATATATATGGCACACACAAAACTTGTGCTTTAGCTATTCATATTTCAAATAAGGGGATATATTCAATAAGGTATTCTGACTTGGAAACCATAGGTAACCTTCAGGGAATTCATAAATATTTTGATATTATGAACAAATCTATATAAAAATATGATTTCCCCTCCCTTAGCAAGAAGATCTGTAGCTCTTATCATATTCTAAAGGTTCCATGATCCCAAAGTATGATTCAGTTTTAAAAAACCTATGGTTCTGGGGCGGTGCCTCTGGCTCAAAGGAGTAGGACGCTGGCCCCATATGCTGGAGGTGGCAGGTTCAAACCCAGCCCCAGCCAAAAACTGCAAAAAATAAAAATAGCACATATATATATATATATATATATATATGATGATAAAGATGACATATTAATAAACAGGTCACAAATCAGTGACTCTTTCATGAAGGTAACATAAAATGAAGTCCTATTCAGGGAAATAGGGAGGCTGAAGAAAAACAGTTCACGAAGTCACATGTTAATCCTAATGCACGTAGAATCAGACAACTGAGCAGTCACTACTCAATGTCTGAGGAGGCAAGAATGGTTAACAATCTCAAAAAAAAAAAAAAAAAAAGAAAAAATTTTTTTAAAGAATTGCAGATACATCTGATAACTCTAAGTCAAAATATGTAGGAGTTAATATAAATGCTTCTTTAGAATGGTTTTCTATGGGTCATTTTAAATATTAATTCATCAAATTTACTAATGAATTAATAATACCAAATAATACCAAAATAGATAAGTAGGTGAAAGATAGTCTAGCTCTTAGTCAAAATGAAAAAATAACATGTGAACATGCAAGAATCTCATTTAAAAAAAATATATATATATTTTTTCAGACAGAGTTTCACTATGTTGCCCTTGGTAGAGTGCCGTGGTGTCACAGCTCACAGCAATCTCAAACTCCTGGGCTTAAGTGACTCTCTTGCCTCAACTTCCCAAGTAGCTGGGACTACAGGCACCTGCTGCCACACCAGGCTATTTTTGTTGTGGTTGTAGTTGTCATTGTTAAGTGTAGCAGGCCCTAGGCTGGGTTTGAACCCACCAGCCCCAGTGTATGTAGCCAGTGCCCTAACCACTCAGCTATGGATGCGCCCAGCCAATCTCATATTCTTAAGTACCTCCAGAGAAAGAGAAAGATATTTTATATAAGTAATAAATTCTATACCTAAGTACTCACTAAGTACCTCCAGAGAAGGATATTTTATATAAGTAACAAATTCTATACTTAAGAGTTCTCATTGCCAGAACTCTCACTGAATTCAAGAACAATTCCCCAAGGGTTAAGGAGAATTTTTTAGCTTACAATTAAAAGCTTTATTTCCTTGATTAGCAATATGATCCAAATGAAGAGTTAATATGGCAATCTTCTCAATTATAAAATGTTCTGAAACATGCTGCACGGCTAGCTAACATGTTCATGTTCATTTTAATTTTAAAGGTGTTTATTTTTAAAGCACAAACTATTAAAAATACTTTCCATTCATTCATCCATTCGTGTTAGAGACAGGGTCTCACTCTGTTAAGTGCAGAGGTACAATTACAGCTCACCGTAACCTCAAATTCCTAGGCTTAAGCCATCCTCCTATCTAAGCCTCCAAAGTAGCCAGGACTACAAGTACATGCTACCATGTTCAGCTAATTTTTTTGTAGAGATGGGATCTTGCTATCTTGCCTAGGCTGACCTTGAACTCCTGGTCTTAAGCAACCCTCCTGCCTCTCAACTTGCCAAAATACTGGGATTACAGGTATGAGCCACCATGGCTAGCCCAATTTTTCCTGTCTTAACAAATAACCTCTAGTTATTAACAATACACATAAAATGTGTAAAAATACTGTCTTCAAAAAGAGTTATCCAAAAAACACTTTTGCATGTTAATAGATCTCCCAGTATCAGGAAGAAAGTAGCAGCAACTTTTGGCATCACAAAAGGCAAAGGGGAAAAAAAAAGTCAATGCCTTCAAGTGTGAACAAATAACTTTAGCATTTTAGTGACTTATGAGTCACTCGGTCCAAACATGGGTAGGGGGTGGATTTTTAATTGGGGAGTGTTAAATATTTACAGAAAGTTTATGAAGGTTAAAATTATTTCTTTTGAACTTACCAGGTGTATTTATTAAAGAGGCCTTAGAAGTTACAGGCTCTGAATCTTCCTAAATATGCAGAAACAAATAAATTAATATCACATCTATTAAAAATCTGTTGCCATGTACATTCAGTGTCTTATGTTTCCACTTACAACATTCTTCCTGCCACTCCCTGCTCCTTCCTCCGTCCACCTTTTTTCCCTTCCATTTGGGCTTTGCCTTCTTCCTGCTCTTACCTTCCTAAGGTTTCCTACTTCAACCTTCCCCACAGCTCCTTTTCTCTGAGTTCTCAATGAGAACTTGCAGTAGCCAATAGCAGAGGTAAGAGACAGATTGAGGGATGGCATCAAGAAGGTCAGATGTTGCAGGGGAAAGAACTGCATTATCTGTTAAACACCAGTATCAGATAAAGCAGAGTTTCCCCAGCCGCACTGACGGGCGGGGATCAGTGTTATTAATGTGCTCGTAAGGGAAACAGCAAGTAACCACAGAGCTCCTAGGGGAAACGTATAAAAGTTTTTCTTTATTCTAATTCCTTTATTTTAAATTAATGCAAGAAAACTGAGATTTTAAAAAATGGGGGGAAAAAACTAGTAAAAGGTCTTTCACTCATTTAAAGATAGGCTTAGGAACAGAATTAAACCACAAGTTTGAACATCAGTGCTTCTTCCCCCAGAATTCCACACATTTAATTCATTTTACGGAGAATGCTATAAAAATTTTGTAAGTAACATTCAAAATAAGACACTTTTTAACATGTGAATAGTTAAAAAAAATAGTCTCTTATACCTTAAAACATGAAATTCAAACATAGCTTATTAAGGAAATTGTGTCAAAAGATTGTTCAATTTGAATTACTTTTATTCACTTACACTTTTGTCTTCTTTTTGTTCTGCTTCTATTGTTGATCCCTTTTCAGCAATTCTTCTCCTATAAACAAGGCAAATTGATTTTTAAAAATGTCATCTAACTCTTGGTATAAAAACTCTGGACAAGTTCAGCATAAAGAAATTTCTCGGCTCGGCGCCTATAGCTCAACCGGCTAAGGCGCCAGCCACGTACACCTAAGGTGGCGGGTTCGAATCCCCAGCCCGGACCCGCCAAACAACAATGACGGCTGCAACCAAAAAAAATAGCCGGGCGTTGTGGCGGGCGCCTGTGGTCCCAGCTACTTGGGAGGCGGGGGCAGGAGACTCGCTTGAGCCCAGGAGTTGGAGGTTGCTGTGAGCTGTAATGCCACGGCACGCTACCCAGGGGGAGAGCTTGAGGCTCTGTCTAAAAAAAAAAAAAAAAAGAAATTTCTCACCTCCTGGCCAGCAGGGCACTCATTTCTTCCATTAAACCACTACCCCCTAAAGGAAGAGGTCCATTTCCACGACCTGTATCTGCTTTAGATGAGGCCGAGTTCACACCAATGGCATTCCCTCCGCTTGGGAAAGAGGTATCCTCCATCTTAATGAGAATATACATACGTCATAAACTCCAATGTTAGACAACCACATGTTTATTAATACATTATATTCAAAGCAGAAGCATACATCAGCATTAATTTTTTTAAATGCCTCATTTTTAAATCCTTAAGCAACAATATGGTAACAACATTGGCTTTATATATGAATGGGAGTTTATTAAAATTAATACCACCAATACTGGGGCGAAACAATATGACATGTCTCCTACAGTGACACACAGAGAAGGACTCAACTTTACTTTGATGGTATGACTGCCAAAAACATGCCGGAGTCTAATCCTGAAGGACATCAGATAAGCCAATCTGAAGGGCAATCTATAAAATAACTTACAGTCTTTAAAAACATCAATATTTTTAAAGACAGACTCAAGAATTATCACAGATTAAAGAGACATTACGGAGGGTGGGATACAATTATAAGAGGGACTTTACCTAACAAACGCTAACAGTGTAACCTAATTCTTGTACCCTTGATAAATCCCAAACAGTAACAAAAAACAGACATTATGACCAAGTGCAATAGATGAATGGAAAAAATTCTGCCATAAAAGACGTTAACAGGCTATAGATGAAATCTGAGTCTGTCTTAAAGATTACACTATTCTATCAGGGTTAATATTCTGATTTTGATAATCACACTGTGGTCCTATAGGAGAATGTCCTTGTTCTTATAAAATAAAAATACACACTGAAGTATTTAAGGAAACAGGAACATGATGTCTGACTCGCTCTCAAATCATTCAGACAGAAAGTGTGTGTGCGGAGAAGAGAATATACCCAAGTAAGGAGCAATAGAGCAAACACTAGAAAAATGTTAACTGCTAAATCTAGATGGCGGGTTTATAGAAATTCTTTATACTATTTCTGCAACTTTTCCAAAAATATAAATTATAGCACTGGTCAATAGTTGACCACCCAAGGGACTGTAACAAACTGGTCAACATACAGTGGTGGTTAACATAAGGAACTAGGCCTGCTGTACTCATGTGTACATGTGGTGCACGTCTGGCCTATGAAAATTAAGTCATCTTAAGGAGGGGGTCAACGTAGGGAGGTGGTGCCCTATAGAGGTTCTATTGTATTTCAATATTTTACATCAGTGATGCTAATAACACAGAGTTCATAAAATTAGAATCCAATAAAGTCAGTATTTTAGACATTTAGAATAAGACATATATTTTAAAATACAATAATCTGTAAACATATTTACCCGTGACACTTTCCTAAGTTTTGCTCCAGCAATTGCAGCTGCAAGTCCAGTTAAGGGGCGATTGTCTTCTGACATGGATCCCGAAAAAAATCCAGATGCAGGGAGGGGAGGGGCAGGAGGTGGTGGAGGAGGAGGGGGGGGGACTTGATTAGGAAGAGGAGGGGGAGGAGGAGGGGGGGGAGGTCCAGAGGATGGAAGTGGAGGTGGTGGAGGGGGTCCTGGGGGAAGGGGGAGTGCTGCTGAAGCCTGGGCAGGACCCGGTGGGAGTGGTGGAGGGGGTGGAGGTGCAGGTGGTCCTAAGACAATGCCTGGGAGAAAGAAACGTGCAGTCAGACCACTAGTAACAGGGCCCAGTGACACTACGTTATGCAGAAAAGGACGGAGAAAGCCAAGCTAAACTGACTCAACATTTATACACATTAACCAGCCCAATTTATAACGTTTAAAGTTTGAATCATTTTTTTAAAAGATACAAAAATGCAAAGGCAAATTGTGTATAACTATTTACTTTAATGTTAGAGCTTTAGAAATAGAACTACGTGGCTCGGCGCCTGTGGCTCAAGCAGCTAAGGCGCCAGCCACATACACCTAAGGTGGCGGGTTC